ACCATGATCTTAATCATATGAAAAACTAGGGTGTTAATCCAAAAAATATAAAATAATGCTTCAATGATAATTCTAAAGATACTTTATTATAAGCTTTAGAAAAAATACTTTTTAAAAGAAGTGGTTGACTTGAGGATGTGATCTAATTTATGGTTTTGTAAGTAATTAGAAAATTATCCAAAATATATTATAAAAAAAGAAAGACCATTTAATTTAGATGAATTAATTTTAATAACACATATTTAAGTTATTTTTGGATAATCTTATTATAAATAATATAAGAAGTATTGAGTAAGATAGTAGAATATTAATTTTCTAATTTAATTTAATTATATCCATTATCTACAAAGATGATACAATCTTTAACAATACTTTTAAAAAAATGATCTTCTATTAGAGCTTAGTCAATTATTGCAATATAATATTATTTAATGATATGTCAAAATATCCAAAAATATTTCATTTCAATGCCATATGAGCCAATTACCTTATCTTTTGTTATTATATATATGTCTTCTCTAATTTTATCAAAATTTTAAAGAATAGATAATTTTGTGTCCATTTAACTAATGTATATATGATATGCTATTTAAAAAATAAAAAGATGATTCTATTGATTCTAAATTTATATCATATTTTTTTTGTATTTATGAAAGTAAAAATTAAAATAAAAATCTTCAAGGTTATGTGGCTCTTTTTCTAATATGTCTTAGAATGTTCCATATTTTTTTAATGAAATATCTTTAATGTTGTATTTTGAATTTTTTTCACCAAATTGTTTCCAAAAGACTTATGATTTAATCTTCTATCTTTTTTTTTTTTTTTTTTTTTTTTTTATTTCTAATCTTCGAGTTAGTTGAATTAATTTTGAATCTTTTGAGTTAAATTTATATATTGTGGTATTAAATATTAGTTTAAAGATTCTAATACATTTATTTAAATTGACCTTAAAATTAAAGGTGGCATCTTGATTTTATGCCATGAGATTTTGAAGAATAGAGATCAATAAAAAAGTGAAGAAGTAGGCTAGATGAAAGGTTGCTAAAGTACATCAAGAGATATAGAGAGTTTTCTTTTGATTTTGGTTTTTGTTGTATTTTTGAGAGTAGTAACAATGTACAAGAGTGGTTAGGAAGAAGAGAGTATAGACATTTAGAAAGGGTTGGTCTATCTAGTGGCAAAAAGTAGTAGGATAATATTTTAATCAAAAAAATAATTATTTATATTTTGATCGTCTTTAATTTTTGGATATATATACAAATATTTTTTTGCATAAACATGCAATGCACATAAGTTTGTAAAAGGTCATAGAAATATTACTTGTATATAGGATGTGATTAATTATAATAAGGTGTTGATTCTCTAATTACGCTTAACAAGTTTGTATAAAGAAAAGTATTATGGATTGTAGTGGTGCATGCACAATAAGAGGAATAAGATGGCCAATTCTGCTACTTGCAGCTTGTTCTTGGTGTAAAATTTCAACTCCAATCAAATTTGGAGATTTTTTCTTATTACGGATTGTAGACAGTATTAATCAAGAAATAGAATTAGATCTATGTGTATATGCTAAAACAAATGCTTGCATCACTATGCATTGTGTGAATATTGCATATTACTTTTGTTGAAGAAATATATGTCCTTAAGAATCAAGATGATGAGAGATTGAAATAATTAATAGAAAAAATAAAAAATATTATTTGAATTAAATGATTATGGATAAAGGTTAACAAAAGCAAAGTATTGAATACAAAATAAGAGGCATAAGGAGTCAAGTAGACCTAATTCATGACAATCAAA